TCTCATGTATGCAGTAATTATGATTTAATAGGGCTTCATAACGTTCTCTTTCTAATTACTGATTATATCTTTTTGTATACTTTTATATGCACATATACATTTATCTATTTTCAAACAGTTGGCACTGATATACTCAGACAAAATCTGAGCAAGAAAGGAGGATGCTAGAAGAAGAAAACAGTATACAGAGGGGGTCAACACCCATGCATTGATGGAGCAGCAATGGTGAGAGCAGCGAGCCTACCCCCCCAAGCTGCAATCCCAGCTGGGATCCTGGATGTAGCCAACAACTCTCTTTGGCACACATGGCCGCCAGCAACCATTCTTCAACCATTTTCAGCCTGCGAGCCCTTAAGCACCCTTCCACAGCAGCTCAGACCCTGCCAGAAATGTCACGTTTCTGCAAACTTCCCTGCCCACAGTGCTGCTGGCACTGGTCATCTGCTGCTGCCAAAAAAAAAAAAAAGGGGGGGATCATATACACATGCATTTTTCCTCACTGGGTGAGGGAGCTGAGTCTGCTCACGAAGGGATCAGAGGAGCCCAAAGGCCAGGACAAAGTATGAAGTGGGTGCTAGCAGCTGCAGGGAATGAAATCTGGAGGAAAAGAGTAAGACCCTGGAGGATGAGCCCATCCTTGTCTCGTTTAACTTCATCTTTAGCCACTTTTCACATCCTGCTCGAGTAAGAAGTTGAAAAGCACTGGTACACAGGGACAACAACTATTCGATCAATGAATGCTGTCTGCATGGGGTCTTTAACATCCGCAGAAATCAATGGCAACATCTTTCAACCTCAGCTCATGTCAGATTATCCTTGCAGCAGTAACGGAGGCATAAATACAAGGAGCAATAAATGAGCAAACTATTAATTGTGAACAAGCAGAAAACCTTTCTCATGTATTCTTTGTGAAATTAGCAGCAAATGCAGTTAGCTAGGTGCTTAAGCAAGCACAAGATGGTACATGCACAACGATTTCTTACTGCAAAAGCCGCTTACTTTCACAAGAACGTGCAGGAGCGTGTTACCACCCAATTACATACATTATTTGAAATTGCTACCCTAAATGACTGCATGCGAATTTTGACTCAAAACAAAAAATAAATCAGGTCTCAAACACTACCTAGATTACAAAGGGTCTGTTATATAAAGTCAGTCGGTAACGTACACCCTGTGTTTTACCTTTAACTCTGTTATTATCAGACCTTCCTCACTTTTAGCCCTGGCCAGAATTAAGTTTACAACTTTCACTTTATGTGGCAAGAAGAGATGAACTGGCAGTTTACAGCCTAGCAGCGTGACATAGGAACGACAGGGTGACAGCCAGCAAACATCAGAAGGACAGAAATACCAAGAAAGATGATAAATTATTTGGAGTGGTATAAAAGGGACATAAAAATAAATTGCAAAGGGAAATTTTACACCAAAGAACGTTATTTCTTGAGAAGGAAGTCCATGATATTTGACTGTGGCAGTCTCCTAAAGGAAACGGTGCCCTGTTTTGAGGGACTGCAGAATCAAAAAGAGCGCGTGGAGAGCAGCTGGGATGCTGCACGGCCAGGAAAATGGACAGACTGATGTATCCGATTTCCATCTCTGAAACTGAGATCTCACTATAAAGCACTTTTTTCATGAAGATAAGAAAAAAGCAGTTTGTAAAAACTCAAACAGATTTCAGCTGAAATGTCTCTGCAAATTAATACACTTTGTAGGAAAAAACAGTCAAATGTAGTGTTTATTCTAAGCACTTTACTACCTCAGACTCATTAACCCAGTACCTTACATGCTCTCTTTGTAATGCAAATTTGCTAAAATACTATGCTTTCCATAAAACATTCATACAGACAAGCTCACACTGCTCAAATACCAATTGTAAGTGGAGCAAAAATACACTGAATTTTTCTTAATACTTGGGTTCTGCACCTAAGTCTTATCTGCATAAGCAGTTTGTGAGAAACCTTCTGTTGTTGCTGCAGCCTCCATAGCACAAAGGTGGAAGATTTCCCAAAGCAGCTGACGTAGGCAATTATAAACTAAATTACCACAAGCAAAAGCCCAACGAAAAGACTTTGTAGAAAGTACCTACAGCAGAGGTGGTTTTTTTTGAGAAAGAGAGATCATTACAGAGAGGAGAGAAGAGATACCCTGCATTTAAGGAGGCCAAACACTGCACATACTGCACCTGCTTGCTGAGCTCCTATTTAACAGCCACCTGCCCAACCACGCAGTGTATTGCCATGGGACTTTGCCGGGAATCCTCACCACGCAGCACCAGGCACGCCGTTTCCAACCGCTGCACTGGTTGGATGCAATACACCCATCCAACAACATGGGGAGCCCAGTACATAACCATCCTGACTAAGGTCTCCAGCCCAATCTGATCCAGATGGTCAACACAGTGGAAGATGACTCAGTGTTGGAGAGGGCTGAGGGAAGGGAAAGGTTCCTGGTTTATGACTTACACAGCTGTGGAGAAGGACCAAAACGTCACCTTAAATGGGCAATGTTACGACAACTCTCTCCCTTCTCCAGTGGACTTGGGTGTTGGAACACAAAATACCATAGTAAATCTATGGCCAACTGAGATCCACAATAAAAATTGCACTAAACCAAATCCAAATACACAAGATAAATACAGGAAATTTTATGATCTTTTCCTCCTCCCTCCACAGGTACCAACTACTTTTGTTTCAAGACGATCTATAATTGTGCTATCTCAAATTAAACTCTGAGCAACTGCTCTCATCCTATATTTAGTTTTGAAAACTGCTGTTTCTTTTTCAGACTTGAAGAAGGGCTCAGAAACATGGAAATTGTCTAATTTTTACAACTATACCAGTTGGTCTGATAGAAGATACTACCTCCAGGTACAAACCTTTCCTAGAGCTATGAGGCAGAACTCAAGACATCATTGCCTGAGGTGACAGAAACATCTACTCTGGTTTTCATCGGGCTTCAGAGCCAAGATGCACAAGCGAAGGTGACCAACAGGAGGCATTTTACCAAAAGGTTTTCTTTATTCTGTGTAATTACGTGCCAACTGCAAGCCAGGTTTACTTCCCAGCCTGTCTGCTAGACCTGGTTCCCAATCATTCAAAACATATCGAGGCTCTGCTACTGCTCCTGAACCCAGATGACTTCCCGAAGGAAACCAGGTCCTCAGAAGGACAGTGCTCAGATAGACCATGATGGACCCAGACCACGCAGGCACCACCTGGCAAGGGCTCAGAGACTGGGAACTGCACCCCAGCACAACTACCCCGTAGTACAGACATAACCAAAGTGAATCTGACTTAACAAGAAACTTTTAAATTATTAAAATAAATTAGCAGAGTCACTAAAAAAAAATAAAAAAAGAAGTTTGGGGCAGGATCTAGAATCAAAATAAACCCAAACCAGTAATTCGGCACATGAGTTTCACAACGAGTAAAGAAAATAAGTACTTGTTCAAACACCTGTAATGATTTCTCAGATGCATTGAAAGAGAATGAACATACCGAAACCTATTTGGTTTTGAAATTCAGTTCATTTGGCACATCCTCCACTTTTGAAAGAAAACAAACTGCAAATGTAGACAAGACATAGCATGAACAGCCATGCACTCTCTTGCTCACCTGCCTGAAGCACCTGGCTACACCAGCTTAGTTTCATCTTTAAACTCAGTTTTCAGTCTGTCCATTAAAATGGTCAATAGCAATGCCAGCTGAGAAATCTCCATCACTGGCAACTCATTTTTACAGGTCATTGGCTAGCCAGACAACAACAGCTTCTAGCCATTACTGACCTCTCTTCGACATGAACTGCCGATTTCCAGGAGAAAGACGAGCCACGAGCCATCCATTTTCTTAATCGTAATTAAAACAAAAACAAAATCACCCAACTGTTTCTATATGATTTCATTTATACAAAATATAAACCTCCAATCGTCCTGCTACATTTCCGGAACGTGAACACTAACACAATAAGAATCTGAATGCATTTAGTTCATCTATTGAGGCAGGGAGTACATTATTAGAAGTAGGTGCTGTTGAACAGAAATTAGCATCAGAACAGTTTGGATCACAAAACGTTCTGCTGCATCGACCCCAAGAAAGCTGATAAAACAGCTTCAGACAGGTGTGTCTTATGATGGAAAAATTAACTTGTGATAAAGGAAAGAATAAAAAGCTCTTTAGATATGTTTCGTTTTCGGAGTCATTAAGATGCAAAAGAAATTTAAAGAAATGCCATCTCCATAAAGCTCAAGCACACATAAGAAAAAGCAAACAAATCTGCCTGGATGACTGGCTGTTTGCAGTACTCTCTGCTTTAACGGCTCTGGCAAAATCGGCTTCTTTAGTTGATCAGTCCTGCTCCCACTGTACTATGCAAAGCTGTATGATGCAGATGGATCTGTGAGTTTTAGGAAAAATGGAGCAAAACCACCACAACATACACCAAAGTCCATATCAAAGAAAAAAGCATACAATCAGTCATTTCCTCTTACAAACGTTTTAAATATTTGCCACTTGCAAAGATTCTCAATCAGAGAGACAGACTGCATCATGTTTGACTCCAGTAAAATGTCTCCTGAGAAAGTCTCCCTTGATCTAAAATTCTCATACTCAGGTTTTAATTTCCAGTCATATTTACAGGAATCCGCTTCCTCCAATTTCCTAATTGAGACTGCGTGGCTTGAAATACTGCACGGCTTGAAATATGCCCACCAGCTATCATATGACTGCAAATTCTACTTGATTAAGAGATACACATTCTCAGGCTTCAGAAAATAATTAGACACTCCAGATTCTCCTGCAGCTTCCTGAGGAGCAGATGCCAACAACCAACATCAACAACCAAGACCATTGGTCCCATCCAGCCTCACAGCTCCTGCACCTTGACGTTACAGTGATTCACAGAATTGTGACCACAGTAACCATCAAGATACATGGAAATGACACAACAAACCCATAACTGGCTGCACGTGTCCAGTTTCTACTCTGAGCTGATCTCCTACTCACCAGGTTCTTGGTCCTTAGTGGATATGCACTCTTTTATGGACTCTGTTATGCCAAGACTAGCTGCAGTGGGGAGTGGGCCAAGCAAGGATTCCAGTGCGGGTGGTCTTACAAAAGCTTCATTTCCATTTTTGCATTCCCCATCTTCATTTTTTTTTCCTCTATCTTTCTCATGAAGTTCATTATAAAAGTCCTTGTTTAAGTGATTAGCAGCTGCTTCCAGTTCCTCATCTTCTGCCTCCTCGTCTCCAAGTATGCTAGAGGTACTATCTTCTATAGAGTCTGTAAGGGGAAAAAAAAAACACAACAGATCATTGCATACCATCTGTTACAGAAACTAAATAAATAGAGAGACACTCACTTAAAGAATAAAAATCTTTACAGAAAATCTGTAGAATACACAATATTTTAGTACAATGTATGAATACATAGAGTTTCAGATGCTCCTCAAATTCACCACCTTGGCTATTAAAACGTATTTTTGTGAATACAGTCATCATTTAAAATACAAGTATCGTGTTACCAAATTAGGGCAGGTAAAAGGGCTTTGCGAGAGAAGACAGCTACTTGCTGGTATAATTACAAATGAAAAATAGCCAGTTCAACCTGCACAAAGCCCTTCCGTATCGCTTAGTCAACTGGGAGGTTTGGTGACAGAAGGGTCTAGATACTGGTCCACTGCACTTTCAGTGATGAAAAGAACATTCTCAGGCCCCAGTGCCAAACTTACACTGCACCAGGAAGGAAAAACAACAGAAATCATTAATGAACTGTCATTGTAATGAACAATGTAGTTGTTCTGAAGACTGATATATGAAACAGCTAATTGGCAGAGAGAACCCCAACGCAATAGAGATCTTGTACTATGCAAGCACATATATGATCACATTTATCACAATAAAGTTCATACGCTTGAGACTGCCTGCAGGATCTGAACCCATTACTATTAAAGTAGTCACAAGACTTTATAGACTTACCATCTTTAGTGAAATTTGCAAATACGCCTTTTGCTTTCGGTCTACTGTTTTCTAATTCAATCTCTATTTCATCTTGATAGCTCGATATTTCACCTGTGGTGTTGAAATAAAAATAAAACTCAGCAATCATTGATGCAATTTTGCACAAATGAGTGATATGTTACACTAAAAACAACTTATACCTTCAAAATCCTCCAGCTTTTTTGATAATGCCTTCTGAAGCTGAAATGAAAATAAACAAAATAAATGTAAAATTACTAAAAAAAACCCGACGACTTTGTACTGTTTATGAACTGTATACAGAGACAGAGAATGACAGAGTATTTTAAAAGCAATAAGCAGGTTTCGAATCCCAACTCAAATTACTTTGTAGTGTCAGACAGGTAAGACAGCTAAGTTTCAAAATACTGACCAATTTCAAATGTTACCTCACCCATCTCTGTATTTCAAAAGGAACCTTCGCTCTGGCAAGCCACAAATAAAAGGCCCCATTCTTCAGCAACCAGACTGTACGACTGTGCCTGTAGATGTGAGCAAGCACAAGGACACTGCTGAAATTGCAGTGCCCGGGCCAGACATAGCACACAGGCGATGGCAGAGTGAAGCACTGACCTACAGCACCTGGCAGGCTCTTGAGAACATCACAAACATGCCTATAGACCTTTAAATGATAGCATATTTAGAACAGTAAGAACAAAAACTCTGAAAAACTAATAATCTAACAATTGGCTATGACAGTAGTAAAATCTTCTCCTCTGGTGCCAGCTTTAGTTCATGCTTTGTAAAGAAATTAAGGCACATGAGAACTAATCTCTGTGGAAGCAGGTGTTGTACCACACAAGAAACCAGCAGTCTCGTTAAAGTAATTGGGTCATTGTTTTCACATGTGTTTAAAAAAAAAGTTGTATGTAATGGCACTGCTGGCCATGGGTATCACCTTAAAAAGAGTGCACAGTTTCTGATCCAATTACAAAGCTTACAGCTTTGCAACCCTGATCCTTGCTAACCAGGGTGGAAGGGTGCATACAGCACATAAAAGAGAAGTACAGATGCCAGGACAGCTACTCAAGACCTCCATGCCACAAGCTCGGTACAACTTGTCACACGAGAGCCTCCAGTTTTACAAAGGCAAAAAGATTTGAGACTTTGGTAAAAGGTCAAAGCACAGGAAGGGAAACCCACATGCAGCAGGAAAGCAAGCATAAAGGAGATAACGGTGCTCAGCGTAACTGCATCAGCTTGCAAATGGGGGAGCATTTGGGCAGAGGGAGCTGAGCCCTCATCTACAACACAGCAATCGTGGGCTAAGCACCAAATACTGGTAGCTTGCAACACACGGAAGCTCAGCTGGTGCTTGTTTACTCGGCCACCCAGACATCCTGATCTGCACTAACAAGAGCAGTGACTCTGTACTTCCCACAGTGGCTGGCTAAAATGGCAGACATACTTTGATCCCTCATTAGGGGATGCTTAAAGCTACATTTGAAGCTACGTATCTGAAAGAGCATGTCTCTCTGGAGGAATGAGCAAAAATGATACAGGAGAAAAAAAAAAAAATATTTTTTTTTTTTTTAAACTGGGAAGCTATCCCTTTGCCAGTAAAATAAAAAAATATCCTTTAGTTAATGGGTATCATATGCGCTAATACTCACCCTTAAGAACCTCAAAATAAGTGTAACTAAACCTTATCAAAGGCTGGTCTGTTAGGATTTAGTATTAACTGATTCAAAAAGGAATATACAGAGGGAGCAGAGATGAGAGAAATACAGAGAGCACCCAATTCAGAATCCACCTGCTGTATCTTCAATTTTTTTTGACCAGCTGTAAATGAAGGAGGATCACATTCTTCTTCCAAGTCAATCTTCATAAATTCATCTATGGTTAGCTGACTTGTTGGTGTATCTTCAAACTCTGTCAACCTACCAAAGCATACAGCACATTACCATAACATCTTTAAGCACTCCTTTAAAAGTAACGAAATTTGTCAAACTGCTAAGTTACAGAATAAACATGTCATCCTTAGAAACTCTGGCTCAAATTCAGACTATGTTAAAACTAAAGTGGTACTGATTGTTTCACCTGCTGCAAAGAAAGTATCTTTTCATATCACAAATTAGCTTTTGATTTATTAGAGTATGTAACACACACTTTTTTTGATGAACAAAGACTGAACAGAAATACCACAGCCCCTACGGTCAATTAAGTGTAGACTGACAAAACTAAGACAAGAAACACAGCTCACTCCTCCTGTCTCATTGCTTTTGTTATCAACAGCAACAACAAAACAGGTTCCCAAACTAAAATATCTGTCATCATAGTTCAGGAGTACGTTGAAAAATATTTCTGGTATGTTAGCATGATTAATTTATGCGAAGCAAATGTTAAAGTAACATATCTTCAGCAGACTGGAAGAGGGACAAGAAGTAATCTTCCCAGGACACACAGAAGCGTAGTAAAATAAAGGGATCATCTGCACATTGCACAGATAGAATAGATGAATGCATGTAATTTTACAATAATATACTTTGTATTTGTTTAATGTTTGCATTTTTAAAGTTCCTACCTACGTGAGAGAGAGGACTAGCTTCACAGGGAACTGCCATGAAAGCAGCTGAATCTTTCAAAGGAACTGAACCTTAAATAAGAACACATTGTCACAACTTCATCTACAAATTTCAGCATTTTATACAGGTGGTTGAGAATGAGCACAGCCATTTTACAGATGGAGAAAGAGAGACAAAAGGTTAAGTACAAAGCCAGCTCAGGAAATGTCTGGCAGAATGCTTTTCTGACAGCAACAGCCCCTTTAATAATATCAACATTTTCCATGGGAAAACGGCAATGATGGGTCTGCAGCTGCTTCACTGGAATATTCCCACCTTCCAGAGGAAGCAAAGCTGACAACAGCTTCCATCTCCAAAGCTAGGAAACTAAAAATGGTGATTCAGTACTCCCAGCACAGGACCCTTCAGCATTTCTCCCTCCCTAAACGCAGTCGTGGTTTTCTCCTCTACCTCCGATTGCAACAAAACTGCTTCTGAAGAAGGAATTTTCTCTAGGATAGAAATTCAGTTTCCAACCAACTCCAGGGTCAATGCCAAGAGCACATGCTGTGAAATGCACAGGGAGAGCCAGGCACCTCTATGTAAAACCAACAGCACGCAGCACGCTGAGCCCACGCACGGCTATGCCGGCCAGCATTAGTGCTGCCGGGGAGAAGAAAGCCTCCAAAACCTAGTCGCACTTTTGGAGTTCAGGCTTCTCCACAAAGCCCCAAATTAGCCATGTATTTGAGAGTGACTGACAGTCCAAAACCTTCCCTCGGAGCACCAGGGACCAGCTCCCTCCTCCTCTCTTTCAGATCAAATTGGAAAGGAGAGGAGGATGCTGTTGGCAGCAGCAGCACCCAGCTTTTAATTAACAGACTAGGAATCTTTCTCAGCGTTAACGGGCTTCCAGTGTGCATTACCCACCTTCCTAGAGGGAGCCTCATCTATCAGGCTAGAGGGAAAACATGGCCAGGGCACAGTTATTATTATTTTAATTCAGGCTTCATTTAATGCCAAACCCATGTATCACTTTAGGAGCATGGATCTTCCCAGTAACTATCATTAAACTACAGTCATCCATCTCTCTATATATGAATCATGCACTCACAGGTGGTCCCACTTCAGCAAGACTTTTCCTCCCAACCAGTCTCACCTCATGAAAACACTATTCTCCTCCCACTGTAAAAAGCCAACATGCACTTTGGCAAAGACGCCTGGTTTGTTTATCCCACACTTGCTCCAAGTTTGAGATGAGCAGCCAGACCCAGAGCCCAGCCAAAACGGCATCACCTCCGGGCATGCATAGAAAACACCAGTAGCAAAACCAGTCGCTCATGAAGCAAGGTTGGGGACAAGATGACCAGGCTTGGGTTTCAGCACCTAATGCTGTGCATGTCTCCTTGTGGATACCTGAGGCTCTGTCTGTCCCTCTCCTTGTCCACCACGTGTGTGACTCATGTCACGAACCTGCACCCGTCAGATGTTAGCCCATGGGTGAGCCAACGTGCCAGCAGCTGGTACAAGCTTAGGGTCAAGCGCCAGCTTCAGCCCTGAGCTAAAACAGCAGCACGGGGCTCTCCTAAGACCTTCAGTGCACCTGCACTAGGACAGCGCAGAGCCGCGTCGTGTTTGCTGGTGGTGCTGCCAAGGAGCTCAGAACCACAGCACACCACAGTTCAACTGTCCGACCTGGCACCAGCATCCAGTGCCATGCCCGTGCCCTCCTCTTCCTCAGTCCTGATCCAAGTCAAACGGGGCAAGGGCTGACCACCCAGCAGTGAGGGCTGCCAGTGTGATGGTGTAGGCACAAGTCAGTCGTAAGCTCAAATTTAGACCAGCATGTTATTTCTTCCCTTCTTGCCGGTCTTAACCACAAGGCGCTAGCCTTCCTCCTGAAATGAAGAACCATCCCCTATGGTCAGGATCACAGCTTGAGCATCATCTCTGCAGGAGAGTGAGGTGTTCACTCAAGGTTTTCTCCTTTAACTTGATATAAATAAATACCTGCATTTGCCAACTACTTGCCTGCCTCAACACTTTACATTGGCTGATAGCCTGTCTACATATTTTTAAACATTTCTTTAATTTTATCCAGTGTTTGGACACATGCCACCAAGGCAACAAAATGATGCACGCAGCAGTCTACACTGCATGAAACAAGGTAACATTAGTTTGGCAGCTAAGAAAAACTGATGCAAACTTTAATTATAAGCACAATAATTTCAGGGGTGAGGGAGTGCCCTCATGAAAAAAAAAAAAATAGCTACGGGCCATTTCTTAAGTCCCACATAAAAATGATATGCAAGTTCATTTTGCACTTTTCTTAATCTAAAAAATCTAATAAGAGTTGCCATTTCAAGTTATGTACAGAAGGAGGAAAATAAACAGATATACAAATTAAGATATTATTTCCTTGGCACAAATTCAAAAGGGCTCTAAAAATTGAAATTTGGCAGCCAAGTATTTTCTATTTATAGTCAAAGCAGAGGCAACCACTACAGCTCAGGCTAAGATTCAACTTCCAGTAAAAACCCTCCTCTTACAGTTTCTCACAGCAAACTCTTTCAAGCAAATTCCTTTGGGAGAAAAGTTTTTCCAGAGCTTGGTGTCATCTGCCCCTAACCTCAACCGTTTTTTTTCAAAGGAAAATTTCCACGGCTTTTGTTTCATCCATTTACGGACAAAACCACACCTCATCTTCTGATAAAGCATAAAGCACTTCTGTGCACAAAACAGTAAACCGCTTCTGTTCACACTTAATTTAGCTCCCAATAAGGGAAAATGGGTCAGTCATTTTGAAGTTACAAGCGATGTTTTTTTTACTCTGTTTTGTTTCAGGGATACCATCCAGTGGAGACTTATGAATCCAGTCTACGGCCAAGGAAAAAAAAGGCTCCTGTGTGCAGCTAGCTGCTCGGTTTTAATGTTTAATTGAAATTCTGCAGCAGTGGGGTGTGACAAAGCACATAAAAGAACAAGCTCTTCTGGAGCCCAACTCACAAATGCTCCAGGAGTTCAAGTTCAAAGTCCAAGAGGGACTTCTAAGCAGAGACCATTTAGGAAAAGCCACGGTGTCCTCCTACATATACACAATCAGCATCTAGCTCTAGAAGCAGGCAGCATAAAGCAGAAGTATCTTGTGCTGGACCTCTATATAGAAGGGCAAACAAATTATAACTTCAGAGACAATTGTTTTTTTAAAGAGTGAACATGAAATTTAGCCTGAGCAGCAAGCCTTTAAGATGCTTGATGTGAGAGGTCTTTTTAAAGTACTTAAAATATTTTATTAATGCATAAAAAAAGTACTAAGCTGAATATTGGCATATTGTTAGCAGAAATACATTAAAAAAAGTTTATTGCAAGATAAGCTGCTGGTGGTAATTAAGTTCCTGATTTTTCCCAAATTAATAATATAATTAAAATCCTAAGTAATAACTTACATGATATGTACATAATCTTAACTATCATATCAATTACAAATATTCTAGCAATAGATCAGCTGATTTGACAACTCCAACATTTGCAACCTCTGGAAAAGTAAGGGATTAACTTTGTATCTTAGTGAAGCACCAAAATATCGCAGTATATCCCCACTGTTCTAACTTAACATTCACCCGTGCCTCCTACCACTCTAAACCTGTGCACTCACTCACAGGGGAGAAATTCAGAATTTGAACTGATGTGGCAAGCCACCACTATTTTTTATACTACAAATTTAACAGTCTATTGCATTATCCTTCTCTCTCATTTTTTTCCAAGCCATACAATGTTTCTGCATGAACTATTTATGGAAGTATGTAAACACATACCCTAAAAGTGATACTCGATACAGACCATGTATCAGAAACAGTTATTAAATGCTTCCTACATAACATAAAATTTTCCAGTATCCACCAGAATGTAAACAAACAGAAGTGTAATCTCCTTATATGTAATCATGGTATATACATATAATTTTACATGTACTTGCAGCAATATAAAAAAACCTATTTTTAAAGTCTGTATGAATGAGTAGCTGATTACTACAGGTAAGGACAAAACCAGAGGTGATTCAGTTACTCTGGTTTTACAACTTACAACTTATCACCTGAGCTGCGCTAAATTAGTCCGTCTGTGTTTCTGGCCAAATACAACTGTAAAGAGAAACATTTTCACTTAGAACAACTTCCATGGTGTACTACATTAACATATTTCACCTCTTTTTGCAACGGACTAAGAGCATACACACACAGTCATTTACTGCAAATTAATTGGTGACTGACAATTTATGGTGCTCATTTGCTGGCAACTCTCTGTCGTTTTTCTAAGTATTAAAGAATGGGTACCTTGAAAGATTTACTGTACTAAATAAAAGAACTCTTTAGAATTAGTTGCTTTTACTTGCTCACACCAAAACAGAGACTTAAAATTATCACAAATTCACTAGCATAAATTTTAAAGCCCTGATTCTGCAAATGCTCACACATGCGGCTAACTCGGGTTAACACTTGTGCACACTGTTAGCCCATCAATAATCCCATCAACAGACCTCCCTGGCCATCCCAGAAGTCCACCAGCCTAAACCTGGAATTTTTTTGTGCTTGGCTTTTTTTCCCCCAAGTGTTCACACCATGCTAATGAAACAAAATGCTTTAGCATTCCTTAAAATTTTGTTCCATTAGCACGGTTCCTCCACCGTGGTCTGTCAAAAACACTCCATGATCTCCTGGAAAAGAAAAACAGTGCGCTGCTTTATTTCTTAACAGCCGCTCAAATGAGCAAAGTCAAACACAGAGAAAACTGTTTACAAGATCTAAGCCCGAGTTAGTGCTAATAAATTAATTATTGTTTCAAAAGTAACAGACACCAAATAATTTTGAAATGACATTTTAAAATAAGTATGAAGTACTAAAATATATTAGGAATCTAATTAATGCATTAGCTTACTAGCTGTATAGAAGCCAGATTTATAAAAAGGAACATTGCCTGTGAAATTGAATTCCTCAAAAATAAACCCTTTTTTCATTGAAACAGATAATTCAATTTACAAAGGTATGGAATATCAACCCGCATGGATCAAGTTGTATCTTACCAGCCATACTAGAAAGATTTCTAGAAATCATCCATAAGCCACTTGAAATTATTTAACTGGAGACATAAAATATTTCTCAATTTACTTTCTTAGCTTATCACAACACTGGCCAGCAAAAGACCTCCACGGCTGCTGAGCTGAGATCAGAGGGGACACCACCACAAGATCCTTTACATGAAGTAACTTTCTCAGTTTTCTCAAAGCTTCTCTCCATACCACGCTTCAACCAAGAGCACTTACACAACTCTGATGTACCAAGCATCCTCTACCCCTCTCCATGCTCAAATACCTTAGGTAAAGAGCTCTCAATTCATCAGTTACCTTTCACAGGATTTTAGCACAGCTTTACTCGGATCACAGCTGAACACAGACTTCTTCACGCCTTTCCCTTCAGTCCTGGCCTTGATACAGCTTTGGTAGTTTGCAAAACGTAACCTCACAAACACCTCACAGCTACACACGTCCCTGTTACCTTCTCTTCCCATCCTGACTCTGGACTCATGTATCGACTTGCTCCTCTCTTTGCCTGCTCTCATGGACATCTACTCAGCTTGAGACTGCACTGGGAGCGTGGACATGAAGTTTATGTGAGCTATATATTGCAGAAATGAAAATAAGAAAAGCTGCAGGCAAGACATTTATCTCTATGTGTGAATCTTTAATTTTTCCCGAAAATTACCAATGCAGTCATTGAAAGAGCTGTGACTAGGTCCCCAGGATATGAGCAAAGGATCCCATTTATGAAAGTCACTGCAGCATCTCCAACTGGCAAATGGAGTTCCTTCGTAACAAGTCTTGTCTTCCTTCCCCAAAAATACTATTTTGTTGTGAGAAAAAACATTCATCTCAAAAATGAGCCCTTTAAACCCATTCTGGCTTTTCATTCCAATTCCTTCTAAATGAAGTTTTACTTCTGAAGTTCATCACAAATAGGTTTTTTAACAGATAGTACTTTATGGAACTGAGAAGAAATATTTTTAATGTAAAAAGCAGCTCAATTTAAAGATAAAGAGAGTAAGCCAAAAAAGTAAAATGCAAGTGTTAACAAAGATAAGCTGATTTTTTTTTATTATTTCTATTGAAGAAGTGCCTAAGATCTTCAAACAGGCGTAAGGACCACACAGTATTAGATAACGCACAATAGACAAATATCACAAAAATAATTCTCATTGTAGATAAGACAGAATTCAGTATGCAGAGAAAGTATGCAATAGATGAAGAGGTAGAGCATGTAAAGGTTAAAAAGGCAGCAGCAAAGACAGGTGTATTGAACACAGGCACAAATGTGAGGATTAAACTAAATGAAAGGGTTGGGTTTATTAAAAGTTAATTTCTGCTATCTCCACAGATGATTACACAGAAAATAACAATTTGACTAATTAGTTAATATTTGTACATTACTTTGAATATATAAAGTGATATAAAAGTTAATATCATTTCAATTAGACTGGAAATGAGATAGAATTATCAGTGCATTTATTAATATTTAATACATTCACTTTCAACAACAGCAACAAGCTTTACATTTTAATTGTGTGCTTCAAAACATAAAGCTAGAAGGCCCTGTGAAGGAATTAAGAAGTTTTCTTACCAAGAACCTACCAAAACTGCACACACATTAAAAATAAACACAGACTGATTTTTAACCAAACAGATGTTAAGAAATCTTGATTTGAAGATGAGTGACAGGGTCCATGGTCCATGCTTTGTCGCTTTCTCCTTCCAAAACAGATTCCTTTTATGATCAGGCTGTTCATTTCCGTGACCTGAAGGTATGTCACATTTTTGTGAACCTCCTCCTAAGAGCTACTCCTCCGGTACACAGCCAGGAAAGAGGTGATAGACTACAGGCACGTGGGGCTTGGTGCTCTCCAGCTGATGGACAACAGGGTGAACTAATCCCCTTTTAAACAGTCACATCAGCTGCATTGCACAGGATCCAAAATAGTGCCTGTCTTAGGCAAGGGCTGCCACCCCTTGTGGAGGGTTTTCCCAAAACAGAAAGCCAAGAAGTGCTTTCTTAAAAAGCATCGCCTCTGCATCCTCAGCCAAGCCACTGATCAACACAGCCCTGTGCCCCCCCTGGGCTGCTGGGCTGGCTCCACAAGGCAGGGGGAAAAGGTACCTCGTGTCAGTGCAACCCCTTCCCTTGCAGATTTCTGCCATAGAAGTCCATCAGCACTGAAAGCAAACCCAGGTTGCAATGGTCCGTGCTTCCCCAGGAGCCAAATCAAAGCATACAGCAGAACCTGCAGGCTGAAGTTTCAGCATTATCTGGACTCCTGTTTAGTTTCACTTCAAGAACTGTCAGGGCAAAGCCATCGGCAGTGAGCGCAGCATCCAACACCGTCCATTAATGAGCGTTCACCCAACTACACTCAACACCTTCACAACACACAAAGCAGCCGCAGCTCTTTACAAACCACAGAGTAACTATAGCAATAATTAAAAGGAAATAAAACTGTACATCAAACTGAGAAGCAAAGAAATTTTTAAGAACGTGAAACAAATTCTTACTAATTTAGACCACTTCTACTCGACAGCATTTTGAGAGGAATTCTTGAAAGAAGAGGAAAAAAACTGGAGTACAGAAAGACTTATTAAAAGGAGGTTTTTTTATTTGCCTTCGTTAAATACTATATAGTGTGCTCTTATTTGAAAAACATCAATCAAACTTATAGATTCGTGATAAATAGTTATAATTATAGCTGCCTGAAAATAATTCAGCTGTCACGTTTACCCTGTCAAAGTAAATAACGCTGTCATTTTAGTTGATGTGTGTGACGAGTAAACATTTCAAAGCATGAATTTTGAAGTAAGATTTCTTCACTTGAAACAATTGCTCAAATCATTTTTCCTTCCAACTCTAATTTATTATGCTTATGTTCTTAGTAAGAACAAACTCTTTTAACTATTTAACCAAAGTATCTTGAAGTACATTGTGGGTGCACAAATCATTAATCTTACAAAATGCACGCTAAAACACATGACCTGTTGGCCAGAGAAAAAAAATGGCATTTGTACTGCTCCATCCTTATAGTTGTAGCACCTTGAAGCACTTCAAACATTTTAAATTTATCCCTATACCACCCATGCATGGTAGAGAAATAGCATCATTCCTGTTCCACAAAGGAAGATCTGGGCGCAAAAATATTTTTCACAATGAAGAAGTGAGTATTATAGACTCAGCTGGATGTGCTTAAGCTGGTCTCAGCAAAGTGGAGAGAGAGACACCAGGGGAGCTTTCTAAAGACAGACCTGGGTGGAACAAACTTAAGAATATACTAGTTATACAAAAACTTCCAACTGGGGACAACAGAAAGCATCATATTTCACAGTTAGGTAATTTTTTACTGAACCTATGGGGAAAGAAAATGTTACAACTTTTCAAAACTAAAATGAGGGAAACTGGGTGACTGCTTACTTCATCGAAATATGGAAAATACTACTAGGTCTTTTAAAAAACCACGTGCCAAAGATACTTGGGAAATTCCCACTTTTAGGCTCACATTCTGCTGATAATTCCACTTTGGACCCCTTCAGTGAACTCACTGTGCTTTCTTCTATTTATTAACAGTGCAACACTATCAAAAATGAACATTTCAGCAAAATATTTTGAAAAGTTCTGCTCTGTAACAGCTAAAGGACAAGAGTTTTCAGCACTGTAGTCTGAATTAATGAAAAAAAATCCCACAGTACACCCTCAGCTTTGAGAATCTGTTAAATGGACACAGTGCTGCTTCTCATCTTTGCTAAGCATTTGAGGCCTTACATAAGAGGCAGGTGTTGGTACTTAAAAATGACCAGCTCAAACATGTTGTACTTATTTTATTCTTGGCACTTCTGAAAAGGAAAAGAACCCAGTTTTTTCTGAAACACATTCATTTTAGACTACACCACTTTTCAGTACCGTAAACGAAAGATAAAAGCAATAAAACTGCACTGACCTTTTCCTTAATGTAGACTCACAAACCTTGACCACTCTGATGACCTCTTTAACAGTACGTCGGAAATCATGCATTCTTGCTGCCACTAGCAGAGCTAGAGAATAAGCAGGGAAAGTCAGTGTCAAAAAGAGGAAAACTTCCTGAACAAAAGCAGAGAGCAGCCAGATAACCATACCCTCTCTTTGTCCCTGCCTTCAGCTAAAGAGCTGTAAATGTTTATGCTCAGCTGTGTCCCTGAATGCAGGTGATTGACTTGACTTCACAAACTTTGCTTTCTACCTTAGATAAAACTAAGCTGATTGCAAATTGCACACTGAAAAATTCTATGCTTTAGCATTTGGTAAACTACGGTCAGCTGCTTAAAATGCAGCACAAGAACATCTCATTGATCACATATGTTCAAAGTTACCATCTTTTTAGCAGAATTTACTAGTTCTGGATAAAAAGACCTCCAGCAAAACACTGAATCTGCTTAAACTGTTATCCTCATCGCTGTCACCATCACTGTCTTGCTAGTGTCCAAGTGCTCTCCTGCAAGACCCTCTACACAGCTAGGTAACTAGTACTGGCTGCATTTAGATTAGTGTGTGGATTCAGAGCACTAGCTCCGTTTTGAAGCCTCACCCCCACTCACTGTGCAGTGGCTCCATGCACAGAACAGTTTTAAGTGTGCAAAAGTGCTTGATTTCAGAGGAAACTAAACCAGAGCTCCACTTCACGTATGCATTTAAAGTGCTCCAGTTCCTAATCAGAACATCAGGGGCTGAACTACCAACTGGTCCTTCAAACAATGTCTGGCCCAGACATTTAGGTCAGGGAACAAAATTAAACCCAGTCCACAGTACACCACATGAACTGCATACTGCATGGATGGATGTAGGGTATTCGGCACCACCTGCTTCAATCTATTGATCCATGTCTGTTGAATCAAATACTCGCTCGTGTGGTTACAGTCTATTTAGTGAACCAAAGACCAGGCTGGTCTCTCATAGAGTCTGTACTCAAATTTTTAGCAATGCGCAATAAGCAAGTACTATTAACAAAAAGAGGCTAAAAATTTCATGATTGCGTTGTCCTGGGTTCCCTAAGTTTGAGCGCTGTTTCTCATTCCAGCATGCACACGTAAGATCTTTCAAATAAAATAAAGCACATATGTGAACTCTGTGACTATCTACACTCTTCGTTACTCTGACCTTACTGACTACCTTTCAACCTAGCCCTCCCAAACTGGTAGGTTTTATGTAAGCATCATGACAGTGATGGCTCTTGGAAAAAGATGAAGAAGGAGAGGAAAATAATTTCACAGAATAGGTCAAAGAGGGCATTTCTTGCATAAGACTCTGTGTAAAGACACAAATCAAAGTGCTTGCACTAATGGTGTCATTTTAGCTGACAAAAAACCTTTTAGCAGCTACAGCTTGCAGAGACCAGGGGAGAGAAGAGCACCAGAAAGGAGGTTAAAAAATCCAAAATGTAAGATACAAAGGATCTGAGCAAGTAATGTAGGAACAAGGGCAAAAATGAAGTTTGAGTTTCAGAAACCATTTCGATGAAGACCCACATAATCTGTAGGTGCCTGACAGCACAAAACCCAGAGAACGTGGCATCACCGAGGAAATGAGAAAGTCACCTGTTCCCAACTCCCAGACTCTCCCATCCAGCCCACTGCAGGGGAAGCAATACCCTCAGTATCTGACATACCTGCTCCGCAGAGCCCGGAGGGCCGGCGACCGGTGTGCATCCAGTCCCGCTTCATTCTCTGCAACAGCCTGAGAGCCGTCATGGACACCTCGTGGTTCTTATCCCCAAACTCAAGCATGTGTGCAAAACGAGGAATATATAAACACGGATCTGCAACAGAAAGTAATACAATTATTTCTAATCCTAACCTTTGATTTAGGAAACGCAGTACTCGAGCAGCAGCACTGCAAGGCTGTTGTGGTTGGCTTGCTTCACGTCTCAGCAAACAACACAGACTGTGCTGCTGGGCCAGATCCTCTGATCACAAAGCTTTAGAAGCACCTTTTTAGTTAAGCTAAAATAAAATGCTTTCTTGCTTTACAGCAGTGCACAAAGTTTTTCTTATATGCTTTTCAGGGTCCAAATCTGCACATGCTGACGCTGACACATAAGCAGTGTTACTGGTATCAGTGAAATTATGCACAAAGCTAAGCACTTGCAAAAGCTTTTGCAGAATGAGGACATGACTTACAGGCAAAACTTTTAACACCTCCTGTAAAGTAACAAATGAGGTAACGTGCACGTCTCACCTCACATCTAACTACAAACCAAGCTTTGAAAAAAATTCGTTTGCTTAAAATCCCATGTCCCTAACAAAAGTCCACTTACACCTTCAGAATTAATTCTAGCTCTTTCTCAGACTCATAGCCCAACAATACAAAACATTGTTTATTACAGATACTACGGCATACTCTCCATTGGCATAAATTGCTGGAACGCAATTAACGTCTACAGCGCTACGACAATTTACATCGGCCACGGATCTGCCTCCAGATGCATAAACTTATTACAAGTGTTGGTGTTATCAGCTTCAAACTAACCAAAACATGTCAGTTCAGATTGTGCTTTGCCTAAACCAATTTATAATTTATCAAACAATCTTGTAAAAGCTACACTTAACACATGTTTACTCTTATTTGAGGTATCAATTTCTCATTTCCTGCCAGCCTTTTATCACTTGACCGAAAATCCATGATGTACGGTAAATTGTTAACTGTTAGTCTCAACTCAATTTCCTTAGCTGATCCCCTACGTGCCCACTTAAACTGATAAAGATGAAAATTCAGCTCGAAACACTGGAACGATCTTACGGATTTACAATTAATCAAAGCAGTTTCATTTAGCACCAAGTTCTAACAATGATGCCCTGTTGCTATCCATAATTACCAAGATCACGCCGCAGGTGATTAAGCCTGTCAGCCCTGCAGAAGCATTTCAATGAAAGCATTTATCAAGCAAGAACTTCCAAATACATCTCCCTCAAAACTGAAGAAACGCCAGAGTGCAGCCACCTCCTAAACATGACCCTAAAAATGAAAGGTTTAGGAAAGCGTAACCAATCCCCATGATTCTTAAGGGCAGTTGTTCTGTATTCCTAAGTATGATTTTATAAAACTGTACTCAACAGAAATGAACAATTCCAAAATACAACAACAAAAAACCTTACAGAAGTGACAGCCTGGGTTCAACACACATTTAAACTTTGCTCTTTGCACTACAGAAACGCGTGCGATGTTACAAAGCAAGGCCCAGTTTGCCTTTTCCATCTCTTCTTATCCCGAGAGGGTCCAACTTCAGCTCCTCCGGCCGCCAGAGCAGAGCAAGGCAATTCACAGCTTTCTCTTCCGAGCTGAGTTTCTCGGGAGCATTTGCACATTCGCATCTTAGCCGTTCAGATGTTTCTGCTGGCATTCATGCCCACGGGTCATTTGACAAAACATTGCACGTCATTAATTTAAATTCTGAAGCTACTAAACAGTCAGAAAATGAATACATGGGTGGCTTTTAAGAGAAAAGCCTTAAAGAGGCCATAAAGGGCTAGAAAGTAATACTACCAATATATAAATTAAATGTAGGGCCAAGGTTAGCATAAACACATCCTGCATGGATGCAAACATTTAAAATAATAATATTTTTTTTAAGTTGTAAAATCCAAACATCTTGATTCCTTCCACAGGTACTAAACAAGGACCGATGCACGGAGAGTGCCCTGCTCCCAGGTGAGTCCCCTTTGCCTTCGGGGAGACCCCTGGGACTGAAACCCTTGCACTTGGGGGAGCAAGTTCAAGTGGGGCAAACCCTGTTGGTTTTCCTGAACGAGGACTTCGGGGGTCGTGAAGCAAATAGCAAGAAAAACATATTTTTTTAAGAAAGGAGCATTTGTTTTTCTGAAGACTCCTCTATCCCAATCATGACTTGGAACTTGGACTTTTGGAAGACCCCAGATGCCACATAGTCACGAGCACGAATATAAAATAAATTATCGGGAACTGTTTTTTAAAAGAGTGACTTCCCCTCCGAAACAGGCAACCGGGATGGCACGG